CACATATATTGAAAAGTTCTCGCAAGAAAGAACTAGTAGATATACTGAACACTCAAAGGCCTGAAAGCTGTACCATAAGGCACTATGATCAGTACAGAGATAGCAAGTCTTCCTATGGGTGGCACCAAGTCAAACTAGACAATGTGACGTGGTTATTGCCAAATACATTTCGGTCACAAAATGTACTGGCAACAGCACGGTGCAAGAAGTGCAAATGAATCTAAATGTAGACTGTGTAACAAAGAAAACAAGCAAACGCTTGAGCATTATATTTCGGAATGTTATGTGATACAGCCTTAAAGACCACCTAACACGAGGTGAATATTTCATTTCATCTTATACATTGGAAGATATACTCATACTATATCCTAAATTTACTATGTAAAACTGCCATAAACAAATAGTGTTATGTAAACACAGTGGCAAAAGCATAGCAACGTATTTTTTGTAAGATTTTGATTTATATTACTATTTTACCATGTACCTTTACAGTTATCACAAACTACTGTACTGTGTCAGATGTATGTAAAACTGTAATCATGATTGCCCACGCCTGAACAGATAGCCACGGTGGTAAATAAACTTACTTAACTTAACTCACGTATATATTTGTTAAGAAAACTAATGCTGACATAGTTTTTATCTCAGTGACATTCTTGGATGAGAGTTCCATGGAACTAAGCAAGAATATCAGGGTATTCTCCTTGGCTCAGAGAAGATCGTTCTATATCAGGTGGAGTTGCACTTTGATAACTTTGATAACAAAGAAAAACTTTCGTTAGTTTTCATTTATGCAGCAATTCCAATAGAAATTTTGATTTTTAGAGTCATCGATGCCAGTGGCCAAGGGACCCTGTGTTGCGGCTGTTACCGCCCTCCATCACATTGTTGCTATAATACCTCACGACCAACCTCAACCAATTAATGATAGAAAATGAGTGTCATCTCATCAATATAGTCGGGGTATTCAAACTAACGCATGGTACAAGCCAGCTTCGACAGTTTTCTTTGCAGTTTTCGACCTCATTAACCATGTAAATTTCCCCCACTACCTTTGGACTAAGGTGGATAGGCTGACGGATATCTTACTTCAGCCACAGAGTGAGTGAGTTCTACGTGAGAGCTACGTGTCGAGGACTTCAGATCAGCTATAGTTTGGATCTCGGTGTTGTGCCGCATCTAAAGCGAAATATCATGATATAAACAGAATCCAAATCCTAATAGTTGGATTCCGTTGATAAGTCGTTGCTTGTTCCGCAGATGTGCGAATGAACTTGCATATCCCCTTACACATATTTTTAATCAATGTTTAATTAAGATAAAGAAAATTACCTGATACATGGAAGAAAAGCAGTGTTATTCCCATGCACAAGAAAGGAATTAAGACAGAAATTAAAACTATTGCCCAGTTACAAGTAAGATTCTTGAAGGAGTTATAGTGTAGAGAATAATTGAACATTTAATAATAAAGCATCTTTTATGTCCTAGATAATTTGGCTTCTGTAAAAACCGCAACTTAATTGCGGCACTTAACACTGAGGGTACGCTCTCTGCTGGAATACACACCCTTCACATGGGGTGCAAGTAGAACCCGTACTTAGCTAAAGATCTTGTGTTTTTTAGTAAAGAGATCAATGAGATAATAACACGAAAGCGGGAAGAAAAATTTTATGCCTGGGCAGAATCAATTGACTCCATGACAACCATGAGTAATGTATGGAAGGAAATCAACAAGATCAAAGGCAATACATGCAGTACAACACCCCACCCACATCCAGAAAGGGTAGCCTCATCTCTCCTCAATAAATGGTGTGAGGAGTCTTCTCTTGATAGCCTTCCATTATCCATACGTAGGTGTTCCCTTAAATTAAGCCATAAAAACGAAATTGACTACCAGTGCAACCTTTTAGATGAGGCTGATGCACCATTTTCAAGGGAGGAACTCCTTGCAGCCATTAAGACTAGCAAATCCACCGCACCTGGGGATGATGGAATCACTTATGACATCATCCGACTTCTTGCAAAAGTACAGGTAAAGGGAAGAAATCCTCTTCTTGATCTCTTCAACTTAACTTACATGACAGGCATCTTGCCTACCTCTTGGAAACAGGCAACCATCATTCCCATTCCAAAACCAGGACGGCCTGATGAATATAGACCAATTTCTCTGACGTCCTGCCTGTCAAAAACCTGTGAAAGAATTCTCCTCACTCGTTTACTCCATCAGATCAAAGACATGATCCATCCATCTGTCTTTGGCTTTCAAAAAGGGAGAGGAACACAAATGTGTCTAGCACAGTACCTAAATGGACGTAATGCACAGTCTTCTTACTTCATAGACTTTAAGGGAGCATTCGACAGAGCCTCCCCTACTGCAATCCTTCATGAACTAACTCTTTTGGGAGTTAAGGGCAAGCTTCTGCTATGGATAAAGGATTATCTATCTTTGAGAAGAGCAAAAGTGTGGTATCAAGGCATCTGTAGTGCTTTTGGCGAATTGGAATTAGGCACTCCACAAGGGGGAGTGTTGTCCCCAACACTGTTTAATATACTTATGCACCCTCTTTGCAAGCTCAATGATGAGTTACGAAACCTGTGCAGCATCACATCCTATGCTGATGACATTCTTATTCAGGTGTTTGATAGGGGGGATTACGTTCTACAGAGGTTCAGCAAAAAGTGTGCCTCCCTTGGTCTCATAATCAACCCAATCAAAATTAAGCATATTTCCAAATCTCGTAGATTACCTTACATTCCAAGGTTAGGTGGACAAACTATTGCAAGAACTGAATCCTACAAATATCTTGGTGTTATGGTGGCTGCTCCCCACCTCATGTCCCATAACTCACGCTTTGCTAAGAATATTGTTCAAAACATCAAGGAACGTTGCCTTGAGCGTTTAAGACCATTGCAATACATTAGTAACAGATATGTAGGTGCCTCCCTGAGAGTCTTAAGGTTGATGTATATCTCCCTTGTTAGGTCCATGATAGACTATGCAAGCCCAGTTCTTAGTATGCTGCCACCGAGTGCCCTCAAACCCCTTGAAGTTTTACAGAATAAGGCCATGAGAATTATTCTTGGATGCCCAATGACCGCTAAAGTTCTCGTCATGAGGAAAGAGTTAGACCTCCCTTCTATTCACAGTCGTGTCATCCAAGTTAACACCATACTTGGCATTAGGCTCTTGCAGCTTCAACCCAGACCACAAACATGGTAACTAAGAATATCCTTCATCAAATTTCTAAATTATCAGAACGGGGTACCCAAGTGTCACTATACTGGATACCTTCTCATATAGGAATATCACTATGTGACAGGGCTGATCAATTAGCCAGGTTAGCACTTTCCCATGAAGATCCATACTATGTAATACCGCTATCTCTCAATCAAATGAAAAAACGAGTTATCAACCGTCTTAGAGATTATGAGGATCAGGTATGGACCAATGAAAAAATGAAAAAAGAAGGACATAGTACTATCTGGCACTACGAGAGTATTGTTGGAACATCAAATTTAGACAAGCCCTATAAAGTCTATTACGGACTGTCTCGGAGACAACAGGTTACATTAACTAGGCTATGCATAGGATATCAGTACACTATACAATATGTACAGGATGCAGTTTTGGATGCAAAACCTGTTTCATATCACCATTGCAAACTGTGCAAGGAACCCAAGTCGCATAATCTCACTCATTACTTACTCTGCTGCATAAAAATAGTACTGTTCACAGAATAGCGCTTGTTGATTATATTAACTTTATTATAGACACTGGTCTTGTCTTTGACATGATTAGTGATGTAAAAGGTTTTTTACCAGTCAGATGATATTTTAATATTGTGATGATAGAACAGCCCTTCAGGCATGTATGTAACACTAATGTTTGACCAATGGCCCTCTACACAAATAGAAGCACAGCCAGTTTGGATAGATGTTTTGGTATCTTACCCTGGCTTTTTGCAGGGCATGTACACTGTTCTGTAAATAAATGTTATCAAATCAAATCAAATCCCTTCTTGACAAGATTCAGGAAACGGCCAGAAAAAAATATTCAAGAAGATGACCTTGACAGTGAACCGAATCCATCAAGCCTACAGCAGCGGAGGGACGTTGCTGCCCTCACTATAATATTTAAGATCTATTGTCAACGTACAGCCCACCTTCAGCTCCTGCGTCAGCTCCGTGACAGGTCCAAAGTGGAACGAACACCTGCAGCCTTGGCCGAACCCCACTATAGAACGCGGCATTACCAAAGGCAATTCATCCCAAGATATACCCAAATATGGAATTTCGGTACATCTAAATGTTGAAGTGCACATTCAGATGTACCGAGACATGCTCCAAAGTTTTAAATATGTGGTTGCTTTGTTCATGAATTTTGTATGGAACCACTGATTAGCTTTAAAATTGCAATAATAATGCAATCTTTAGTTAATAAATATGTTTGAATACTTGTAATGTGTATCAGCATAAACCAATGTATAACTTAGAATAGAAAAGAGAGAGAGAGAGAGAGAGAGAGAGAGAGAGAGAGAGAGAGAGAGAGAGAGAGAGAGAGAGAGAGAGGGAGGGAGGGAGGGAGGGGGGGGAGGTGTAGGAGAAAGGGAGAGGGAGGGAGGGAGGCAGGGAGAGAGAGAGAGAGGGAGAGAGGGGGAAGGGGGAGGTGTAGGAGAAAGGGAGAGGGAAGGAGGGGAGAGAGAGAGAGAGAGAGAGAGAGAGAGAGAGAGAGAGAGAGAGAGAGAGAGAGAGAGAGAGAGAGAGAGAGAGAGAGAAAGAAGGAAAGAGAGAGGGAGGGAGAAGGGGGAGGAGGTAGGAGAAAGGGAGAGGGAGAGAGAGAGAGAGAGAGAGAGAGAGAGAGAGAGAGAGAGAGAGAGAGAGAGAGAGAGAGAGAGAGAGAGAGAGAGAGAGAGAGGGGGGGGGTAGGGGAGAGAGAGGGGGAGGAGAGAGATTGTCTCCCCATTCTTGTTAAACCGAAACAAAGTCCAAGGCCCACTCACCCACGATAGTGTATCCGCGGTCGGCGAACTCGCTCCAGACGGGCGCGCCGGCTAACACGGCGTCCAGCGTAAACGTCGGGTCGTCGTCGCCGCGGCTGTCCGCCTCGTCGCCGTCGCCCTCGCTCTCCGCAGAGGTCCTCTTGCACTTCCTCTTTTTACAGCGCCGCTTCTTCTTCCTCGCCGCGGCCGCCTGATCCTTCCTCTTTCTCTGCTCGCCGGGCGCGTGGCTGGCATCGAGGGCGGCGGCTCCTGTTTCTCTAGCTTCTGTTCCTTCTGCTTTTCCTCCTCTAGCATCCAACTGGGCCAGCGGCAGGAGAAGTGGACCGGCGCGAGCGTCAGCGACAGCGTCTTCGTGCTCTCGGTGGCGCTCGGGGACGGCTGTGCGAGAGTAGTAGTAGTCATAGTAATCGGCCACATAGAGCAAGCAGCAGAGCACAACGCACAGGATCCCCAGCAGGCTGCAGGCGCGGCGTGGGAGGTGCATGCCGAGGACGGGAGCGGAATGAGAGCCCAGGGGAAGGGAAGCGCCTCACCTGGACGAGGGGCGGCTGTGCGACTGCGGCGGCGAGCAGCGGCACATTTCACGTGCCTCGCTCACTCGGCGGCCCGGCCCTCGCTATCATACTTCGTAATCTGGTCGGAGGAGAGACGAACGCAGTTATTCGTGGAAGGAGAGTTTTTAGGACATAAGTTATTCTTAATATTATTATCACTGTTATGTAGGAACAAATAAATTATTAGTCTTTTTATCAAAATAATGTTCGGGAGGGAAACAAGGGGTTAGAGTTACTTGTTTCCATTGTCTTAATAAGTGGATAAATTATGCTCTTCTTTCAGCGTCTGTGAAGGCGGTATCTCAGTACTACCTATGGTATCCATTAAGTGAGGTAATGTGTAAGGTTAAGTAATTTCTTTCATGCTTAGATTATATTTCAGAGACAATTCACGGTTTTTTGTACGTTTACATGGAATCTCATCTGCTAACATTTTTATATTTGTCCCTAGCATTATCCCCTGCCTATAAATGATATGATAATAGGCTAAAAGCAAGCTCTCAAGGGACCCAAAATTTAAACACTCGGCAGAGTGAAAGATGAATGCACAGAAATGCTTTCCCATAACAAATGAAAACCAACAATAACTAAGACATAGGTATTCGCAAATATTACGAAAGAAACACGATACTATCAACCAACAAAATAAACGCCCCTCTCTCTCTCTCTCTCTCTCTCTCTCTCTCTCTCTCTCTCTCTCTCTCTCTCTCTCTCTCTCTCTCTCTCTCTCTCTCTCTCTCTCTCTCTCTCTCATGGGGGGAGGGGGAGTGTAGCCGCTGTTATCAACATCAGCATGGCGTAGCTGCTGGCATCAGCATCATGTGTATAACATCTGTAACCACTGTCATCAGCGTCGGCATGGTGTAACTGCTGGCGTCAGCATCATGCGTATATCATCCTCCCTAAGGCTTGGGCTGACGGCTTCCTCATGAGTTGCGATAAAAATAATGTCATAGTCGTGTTCCTCCGTGTTGGTATATGTGCTGAATTACGCCTTGTCCCTGGTGTTGACGTATGTATAGAATGGATGCGCCTCACGAAGGGGGCTATCAATGGTGTGTAGGGCAGTTCGAGAATTAACACAGGCCTTACAACACGTACATTAGGACCGATCTGGAGACTTATTAAAGGCCTTGACTGTTCCCACTATGCGTACGTATCAAACACATGTAGATACCATTTGCACATGTATACCATTGTACAATTTACCTATTATAATATGGAAGCGTGATTGACAAACAGTGTAATATACAGATTCTCTGTAGTTGTAATAGTATAAGTACTGGTTAAAGATATTGTAAGTAAACGTAAATCTAATTGTGGCAGTGATAATGAATGTCATATATTGATTACAGGTTTGACCGCATTCCAATAAATTGAGAAGGCGCGAGAAGTTGCAACTGTCGCCTGGAGGTTGCTGCTGTGGCTGGGCACCACGGTGGGTAAGGACTAAGCTCATCCGAGTCAGCACCTGCTGACACACTGTTAGCGAGTCGACATCAGTCGGCACAGGCCGGGCTCCTCCATAGCCCGGGCGAGGCTCAGCTTCGCATATCGGACTTATCCTTATCTTATCCTAAGTGCGTGAAATTCTCTCGCTCTCTCATGAGGGGAGCCCAACCGAGTCGCTAACGTGTGTCAGCTGGTGCTTACTCGACTGAGCTTAGCCCTTAACCGCCGTGGTGCCCAGCTACAGCAATAACCTCCAGACGAGCGACAATTGCAACTTCTCGCACCTGGGCGGATGAGAGACCGACACGTTACCACTGTACTACCCCGGAGGCAAGGCCTCTGAGAGTCCCGAGTGCTTCTTTAACCTCCTTCTCATTGCCCTACTCGTCTTATCCTTTCTGCGACTCATTTTTTTCTCTATATCTATGATAATTGTTTTCTTTCCTTCTTTCCTCCTCATAGTTCTCTCTTTCTAATGTTAGTTTTTTTCTTGCTCATTCTATCTCCTTCCATCTATCTGATAACACCATAATCAGACAAATATCCAACAGCGGCAAAACCTTCATTGCACTCCTTATGCGCAGCCATTAAATCCTGCTACGTCAGAGGTCTGGCATTCACCAATAGCATCTTTGTCCGACTGTGGCCAGTGTTCCACATATGAATGTTTCAAACAAACGGGATTTTTTTTCCCAGACGTTATTATACATTGGTTCAATAATGTACCATTAAGTAAAACGTATTTTTCCGACTTTACCATCCATCAAAATACTTAATTACAATTATTACCAACATTATCATTACTATTATTTTCACTGCCATCATCATTACAAAACTACTACTATTACTATTATCATCATTATTAGTTATTAGTTTAATATCATTCCTATCATTATCATCACTAATATCACTAATACAATTAATACTGTTATCATTTAACAGTAACAGCATACTAATGCATCATATGTCAACCAAAGACTCAAGAGCGAAACACTGTTACCCACTGGTTGTGAAAAGCAAATTGCTACCAAACTCCTAGCAGCGCATGGCAACTCATACCATCATGCCAAGGACTACGAATTACATCATCTTTGGGTAAGCGCTGACGCAGGAGAGAGGAAAGGGAGGAAATGCGTTCTTATCACACATACACACACACACACACATACACGCACACGCACACGCACACGCACATGCACACGCACACGCACACGCGCACACACACACACATACACACACACACACAAACACAGTACGTGTTGCTCTTAAAATACGTCAACCAGTCACATGTTTTTTGTACACACCGAATGTAAGTGAAATACCGTGATGCAATTTGACACAACTAATACAGTCTGACCAAGGAACAAGCATTAATCACCAGCCTCGCTTTATGAATCACGAAAATAAAATCGAAATAAAGAGTTTCAGCGTGAATCACTATACGAGCACATTCGTTAATCTCAATACCTCTGCTTATCGTAAAAAAAAATCATTAATCTTAAATAAATCTTAGAATTGTGAAGACGGAGCTCCAGTTGCATTTACAAACAGTACATATAACATTTTTCTCAGGGAACAAAGCTTGTTTAATATCCTGAAGGGGGAGACTTTTTTGCATACATATCTACGTCTGACTGTCACTCCCTCACTCACTCTCTCTCTCTCTCTCTCTCTCTCTCTCTCTCTCTCTCTCTCTCTCTCTCTCTCTCTCTCTCTCTCTCTCTCTCTCTCTCTCTCCCTCACTCACTCACTCTCTCTCTCTATCTCTCTCTCTCTCTAACTCACTCACTCTCTCTCTCTTTATTGACTTCCCCCCTCTACTCACCCTCGACTTCCCACGGTACAGACTCTACTGGCTATCGCCTGTGCCAATTTTGACCTGCGCCCAGAACGGAACGACAATAACAAATGCCCACAGAGCTAGCAATTCCGACCCTTACCGCCGATCACTCTGAAGCTACATGTAAACTCATATCTTGATTATACTCAATATGTTGTTTAAGAAAAATCTTGATTCTGAATCACTAGGTTTGTATTCATTATTACAGACGATACTGTAGTTATCAAATGTTTACAATTTAATTGTACTGACATATTCAGTGTACCCATCCAAACATGTGACCACAAGAACCTATTGACACTCCTATGTCAACCTATATCGTACAAAAACGACCTGTGATCACCTCAAGAAATCAGAGCTGAAGTAACTCTGCCCTCAGCATCGGTTCGGTCAATACCTCAAGCTTACACAGACCGCTCACCCTCGCGGGCATGACACGACGCTCCTGCCTGGACGTCTCTGTCTGGCCTGTTCTCTATACTCTAGCTACCACACTCCTGTGTTAATAAATATAAAAATTGTGACAACTTTAACTGCAACACATCAAGAAACATCCCAGTGCACTGGGATACGCTTTCCACAGTGGTCTGTGACAAATGGTGACAGACCACTGGGGTAACACACCACACGATCCCTCTTCCGAACGCATCACACGAAGCCCTCCAAAGATAATGCACCACACGAAACCCTCCGAAGACAATTTATCAAATCCTGCAAGCAAAGACACCTTCACCAACTTCTGTCATTCCAAGACTTCATCTCACGATGCACCTACAGACCTCCAACATCAAGCACAAAGCCAGTCTTCCCTGTAAGCTGACATTATTCCTCCCTCAGTGCCTTTCAACCCCTGTTACAGTCAACACTAGCTGCAGTTGCCTGACGGTTGCAACATCAATCAACACTACCCTGCCAGTACCTCAAGGTGAGTTCCCTTATCCTCACTGTTCTCATTTGTTTAGGATATCTCCTCTGAAGTGAAGTGTCTGATATCTCCCGTCGGCTAACATTTGTCTCCTGATCACTTTGTGCCTCCCCTTGCTTCACTCATGCCCTTCGGTTTGCCTAACCTTTCTCTCATTTCTACACAATGCTGAATTCCAATTTATTCATTATGAACTATTTCACAGGAAAATCTTTCACGAGTTGTTTGCATGTTCTTAATGATTATCTCCATTGGAAAATAATTCCTGTATCCTATCATGCAACTACTCTTATTTGATTTCCCATCAATCCTGCATTTTTGCAAGCAACTAATCTCATTTCCCTGAAGGAAATATAGTCTATGATCTGTTTTCATAGGAATAGCTGTTATACTGTATCCTTGCACATAAATCATACACATTATATTTGTGGATATCATTCCTGTATTTTGCATGACTCTTTAAGCTCATAATTTCCTCAAAATTTAATCCTACAATCTCGATTGTTCATTACTGCCTTCTATCTCTCAGGTGAATGTTGCAACTAACGCTGTTCCGAATCCTTGGCACGTTGCTTCCAATCTTTTCCTAATCGTTTTAAGATATTGCATTATGTTTTCAGTTGCCAAGACATTGTACTGTCGTTCCCGTTGCTGTCGTCAGAGCCAGACGCCCGTGCTGAGGCCCACTGCCGACCGGTCCTACCTTCCCTGTCGACCCTCGTGACGCTAACACCAAGGTGCTCTTCCTCTCCCGAGATCACGAACCCTTCCCGCCAACGACGTCATCCTGATCCATTCAAAACCTTGTTCTTACGATACACCGCTAAGTCCTCGCACCATTGCCAACTTGGTCCAGAATCTT